GTGGAGAAAATCCGGAGCATTGTGAGCCGTGGGGGCGCTTCTCCGGACCCGGATTGCCCTGAGGTACAGGAGTGCTACCAGTACTGGGTCATTGTCCAGCGTCGCCGCAGCAATACTGAAAGTGTGACCCAAACGGCTTCTACAAGGATCAATACGCAAACGACTTCTGATGGCTTGGCGGCAGTTCTGGGCACGCCTGCTAACCTGATGCCTTCGGTCTCTGGTGCGGCTGTGAGCGGTGCAGCTGGTGCGGCTGGTGGTGCTGCGCCTGTTGATCTGGTGGGCCGTGTCCAGCAATCCCTTTCAGCTTCAACTGGAGGAGAATAAGTGGCAAAAGTTCCAGGCAGATGTTCTTTTAAATTGCAATGTTGAATTGCTATTGCTTGATATATATATACATATGCTGCAGGAGCTCCGCTACCAAAGGTCAAAGCAAAGGCGAAGCCAAAGTCGCAGAACAAACCAGTGACACCAACAGAGCCAACTGGTGCAGCTGAGCTGAAAGCTTCTCTGTGCCAGCTGGTTGCAATATATTGGGTAAGCTTTTGTTCTCTTTTGTTATCATCTTTTTTTGTGGGATTCTTCTGACAATGTATGTTATATAAACATCGACTGTCCCAGGCAAAGAACTGAAGAAGGAGATCAATCAGTGCAACATCTGTGCCTTTGACCTCGATTCCACGGACAAGCTGCGGGGTGCTTTGATGAAGTTTAAGACTCGCTATGAAGAGTTCTTGGATGAGTGCCTTGGAACTATATTTCACTTAAGTGTTTACCTTTGGTACCTTTTTGCTTTTGACACCCCTGTGGTATTTTATATCCACGGGTCCTGATCAATGATTCTGAGGATCAAGGGGATTGATGCATTGGCGACGCTGAAGGATTTGCAGGCAGAGATTGCCGACAATGTACCTAGAACCGTATTAAACAATATATTTTGTTTGTAAATCCTCACTTGAAAACAGCTCAAAACATTTGGAAGTATTGTCAGTGGTGCCAAATCCAAGGTATCCAACATGAAGGTCATCAAGGCCCAAGCAAAAGCTGTCCTTTCGGTCCGGAAGAAGGAGAAGAAGGATTCGGCGGCTAGCTCGGCCTCGACTGTTGGATGAGAGGATGGCTTTTCTTCTCTGGAGGGCTAGCGTAGTGCCCATAGGAATGCATGGGTTGAATCCAGTGGCTGCATCCCCATAGCCTGCTTTGCAGCAATATGGGAAACACTTTGCATCCCCAATGATCTAATAGAGTATATACTAGGAAACACTAGATGTTTGTCACATATATGGATGTCATGCAATTGTGGGAGGGGGTGCTCCATCAATGGATTCGGGATTGAGCATTCGATGCCATCGCAAGCCCACCTTTTGAACATCACCGAAAGAGGTGCATTGGATTCTTGGTGGAAAAAGACATGGGGGCTCATGCCTGAAAAAGGGATGTGTTCGCTTAAGTTTGATGTTCCCGACGCAGGTGACTGGGAAGATCCACATGCGGCCAATAAGCGGCAGAGACTGGATGAGGTGTTTCTTGGAATCCTTATAGTCGTATGTTTTGTTGTTCATGGGTTGCAAGTTGGTATAATTATATTGGAGGAGTTTGTACTCTTCTATACTCTTCTCACCCATGGGCCCTGCTCAGGCTGGCGCGTGGCGTTGGCGCTGGTGCATCTTCAATCCATCATGCCTGCGCAGTTGGGGAGATCTTCGAGTCACAGGTCTTCAGTCGGAGCCTTTGGTTAATCTTGGGAATTGGTTGGATTTGTTTTTGGATATTCTTCTTTGTGTGAACAGTAAAAACATGTGATCTTCCTTTGATGTCACATGCAAGGGTGGGCCAACATGAACTCAATGTTCACCGCAAAGCTGCACGGGAAGGTCTCAGCTATGATGCAAAGATATCCTATATAGAGCTGCCAATTTGCACTGACCAAAACGCTGGCACTGTTGGGATTGAAACGTGGCCAATCCTGCTTCCAGCTGATTTGGAATCTGGGCCAGTATTCAAAAACCTTTTTTTATGTGGTTGTCGCAAATTGGTGTCGAGCTATATATGTGCCTTATGCATCCATTTTTCCACAGTTAAGGTAGCTGCTATGATCAAGAATGGAGACCTTAGATTTCTCACTCAGCTTGACAAAATGGAAGACTATTGGAAACATCTTCTGAAAGATTATCCTAATCATCCAGTGGTTGGCCAGGAGGCCATGAGTGTACCTTTGACGTTGTATGGACCCTTCCCTGTGCTTAAGCATGCTTTTGATTTTGGTTCCCAGTGATATGTAGAAAAGAATCATTGAGTGAAAAGGAATGCAACTTGTTTTTTTGATGAGCTCAATGGGCACTGAAGGAGATGAGGGCCAAGCGCTGGGTGGCTCCTGGATGAACTATCACTTCTGCCCATCCTTGAGCCCTTGCATTTCCAATTCTGCCTGCAGCCGCTTCCTCATGTGCTGCATTCCTGCCGCCATGCACCTCAGAGCCATCAAGTACTGTTTTCATGTGCTGTTCTGACGTTGGTCAAAGCTCTTCATGATATTTGCCAAAATTAGCTATAGAAAAGTAATCTAATATGACTGTACCTGTTCACAAAATGATCCCTCACTGAGGTATGTGTTTGATGAGCATGGTGTGAATCTTACGCTTCAAGCTGCAACAGCGGCCATTCGGGACAGCTTCAACTCTTTGTCCCGAACTGGTGTGCCAATCCAAGACCCGGAAACTGGTGAGTGCGTGCCTTGACACTTTAGAGATTTTTTAGTAAATCTTTGAACTTTGGATTTTGGTGTTTAGCTTTCTTGAACAAACGGTTTCGTGGTCCAAGCTGCAGTGCATGGGCGTGCATGTAAGGTTTGCACGCTCAAGTTTTGGATTGCGCATGTCACGGGGGATTGGAAATTCCTCTACCAGACCTTCAACTTCCAGCGGTATGCAACCTATGAAGAGGCAAATGGCTGAAAAATGGGGTTGGCCATTGATTGTATCGCTGCCTTGGGTTTGTCATATGTTTTTTTGTTTTCTGTGTTTCATGGCTTATGTTCAACCCTGCAGATCTGCTGGATGTGCCTTTGCACAAAGGGTAGTGATGACCCTTCTTGGAGCTTTACAAACCTGAACGATGGCTGCCCATGGATGGGGACTCTTTTTCAACAAGACCCGTGGAGTATCAAACCTTCTCTTGCTGACTTAGAGGGGTTCAACTTACAAATGCTGTCAGTGGATCTGTTGCACGCTTTCCACTTGGGCTGTGGCCGTGACTTGGCTGGCTCGGCCATTCGGTCTTTAGCGTCTCAAGCAGGCTTTTGGGCTGGCAACACCCAGGATCTTCGACTTGAATCAGCCACACGCAGCCTACGAGCGTTTGCCGCCAACAACCGGCTCAGCTTGACAATTCGGAAGCTTACGAAAAGCAATTTGTCCTGGGAGACAGAATCTTATCCGGAACTGAAGTGTAAGGGGTTCGACACTTTCATTGTGGTCAAGTGGTTGGCGCATGAGGTCACTTTGAGAGATTGTGGCGATGACTTGTTGGCGTGCGCACTTTGGGCAGCGGACAGTTTCCTGCGTGTTTTGCACAAGTCTGGAACGTTTCTGAAAGAGGCTGAAGAACTTCACAAAACCCATGTTGGGAACCTGTTCCTTCGCAGCTACTTGAGGCTTGCTTCCAATGCACTGCAAGCTCGACAAAGGCTTTGGAGGCTGAGGCCCAAGTTCCACCTATTGTGGCATGTGGTGCATGAGCGCAGAGCATCCAGATTGAACGCTACATTCACCTCTACTTGGATGGACGAAGATGCGATGCGAAAATGGATGCGCATCACGAGAATGACTCACAAGAGAACTGCTGCAATCAACACTCTTCGGCGCTTCTTGTTGGGACTCCCGGCCAAGCTGAACTCGGCCAAAGTGCCAGGATCGAGCACCGAGCCAAGAGAAAGTTGGTCCAACTGGTTGGGATGGTGTGTGTGTGTGTGTGGCAATAGGACCTGCAGAGAAAACCATATGCATCTAATTTTTCATGCCGCAGTGGTGGGTTCACCATGTAAACCTAGGGGCTGACCAAAACATGGTAAGGTAACGTGAGAATATATAAATATCTGACCTGAAACCACACCCTATCACACTATATATATGTAGTCATATGTTTTTGTACAACGTGCTAAATTCAAGATAAGGTTTAAACAGAGCCGTGCTGGGCTGCGCTGAGTACAAATACAAAAGACAAGTCTCTTCATGGCATGTTGCTTTCTTTCTTGGGAAGGCTATATCAAGCCTGGTAGTGGAGCCATGTCATCAAAATCGATTGCTGACAACAGCTTTTCACCAGCACTTTTGGCGTGAAAGTGCGTTAAAAAAACCATATGTACGTGAAAATTTTTAAACAGTACGAATGAAGCCATGTACCAGATTTAGTGGTACATATGGATGTCTAGGTTATAGACCCCCGAAAGAGGTCTTTTCCATCTAGTAACCACCCTTGGGGCGGTGCTGGTACATGGTAATATACCGTTCCACACACATCAACCCAAGCTCTGAGACGAAACCAAAGCGAGAGGTCTCTCATGAGCATTCCAGCTGTTTGGTTTAGCATGGCCCAACATATTCCAACGCATATTCCACGTCGTCTGATCAGACGACCTCTGACTGCGGTGTGCATGGTGTTTTTGGTCGCCTCGCGAGTTCATCCCTGGTTTCAGCGATGCCAATATGAGCCCGGGCCCGAGCTTTCCCCGGGCTCGGGCTGGGTCCAACTGTGACCCGGTGACCCATGGTGGGCGCTCGGTGTGGCGGAGGCGTCGGAAACTTTTCAGATTGGACCAGCTGCTTCCGTTCGGGGTCACCAATGGATATCTCCACACTACGTAAACAGGTCTCCAAACAGCGCACCCCTTGGAAGCGCTAGGGAGGTCTGAAGAACCTTTGCTTTTTCTGTTGATGATGTGGAACTCTGCTTCTCTATACAACTCGTTGGCCTTCATCCCGCGAATCTCAACTGGACGGTGCCTCCTCCCTCATGGGCTTGGCCGGAGGAAACGCGAAGCCCACCGGCTTCTCCAACCAAATCCTTAGGTGTCAGAAGAACTCAAGAGCGTCTGTCGGTGGCACTTTGTGTCCTCACTTGGTGTCTGAAAGGTGGTGTCGGTTGGGGTTCCCTCATCCTCATAGTTCCACCAGGACCATCCGAATTTCTGGGTGCCCTGGCTGGAGATCTCTAGGTTTAAGTAGTGCAGGGTAGTCCAGCCTGGACACCCAAAGGGTCGGATGATCCTGCCATCTGTCACTTCTCACGACCGGCCATGCGAAGATGTCTTCGTCCGGGCCCGACGAAAGCTCCCACAGGTGGACCATCGTTCGAACGACCGAACGTCGCTTCTTGATACTACCCTATAGGGCTCCTGGCCCACCTCTGAGGTTCGGTGGTTGGGGTGGATTTTGGGGGGTCTAACCACCGAACCTGAGGACATGGGACAGGAGCCCTAGGGCTAGTAGGAAATGAGCTACCAGTAGCGATGGCCTCCAACCTCCTAGCGATGGCCTCCACTATAGAGTAGCTTCGAGCTACCCCCAAAAACCACCCGCCCGAACCATCACTGCACCCTGAAACCTGAAGCGCCGGGGGCGGATCTGATCCGAGGTCTCTGGTCCATAGGCCTCTTTGGGTCCATAGACCTCTTGATGAATACATACAACCCACCCAATTGAATTGGGATCTCCTCTTCAGGCCTCAAGAGTTGAACTTCAGGCCTCAAGAGTCGCACTGAACGGTTGGAATATGTTGGCATCACCCCCAGACGGCCGTTGTTTTGGGACCAGTGACGACCGGAGCGGAAGGACTGGAGGAGACGAGCGTGTTTTAAGGCGAAACCCGGGGATGCATCGGATCTTTTCCATACCAAAAGACACCTTACGTTTGGGCGATCGCCCAAGAACGTAAGTTTGGTTTAGTTTCCTTTGTTCTTTCTGAGTTCCTTCTCGTTGTTTTTCCCAACAGAGGTTGAAGGACCCAAACGCGACACGTCTGGGACTGCCAGTCCGGACTGCCGAGAGTTCCGGCCAGGGGTGGTGGTGGCGCCAGGGGTGGTGTTTTTATCTGGGGCATATATGGCAGTCCCATGGAGTGTATTATGGGTTATAGACTATCCCGGTTGGGTATCTCAGGTTACGGTCCTTACTATAAGGTCACTGGCTACCTCTCTTGGTCCATACCACTTATATCACCTTAGTTTCAGCTTCCCAACAAGCAACTTTAGCTCCAGCTTCTCACATCCTTACCCCCACAGTCTCACCACCTGCCCCCTCAACTAACTACATGTTCACCACCCCCAAAAGGTTTCGTTTTCGACCGAGACCTTCCTCCCACCTTTCGCTCGGCGTCTTCTCCGGCGGCCTCTCGTCCTTCAACAGCTCCAGCGCTCGCTGCGCGTGCCGCAACGCCAGCAGCGACACGCCTCCGCTGGCGCGGCAGAAGTTGGCCTCCGCAGCCCGATGGTGTAAACGAGTCCTCAGAGGCGGCGGAGACGGATCGTGGCGGCGACGGCGACTGGCACCGGCAGCAGCGGCCCAAGGGAGCAAAGGATGAAGGGTGTGGTGGGCGTTCTGGCGTGGCGGTCGAGGAGGGAAGGATCTGTTTTCCCATTGTTTTTCCTCTCCTTTTTGGGGTTCTAGGCAGGAGAACTTGCCCATCAACTCTTTTCTAATGTCAGGATCCTTCAACTGCTGCGATCATATTCTATAGTCCTTCACCTTGTGGCAAAACAGTGGCAAACCTGTCCACTTCATGATACATACTACTGACTGTGTTGGTTCGGAAGTTTGTGCATACCACCTCCGCACAATGACATTGATATCTAACAATGACATTGATATCTAACTATTCCTGGGTCCGGCACCCCTTCATCTGGCCCATAGGCCAAGGGCACCACACTCGGATATATACGATATATATAACCGACCCCAAGCCTCAAGGGGATCACTGGGCGATCACCTGAGGTCCCAAGGCTCCGACGCGGCGTCTCACTTCTTCCGACTTCGCGACCGGCCGAGGTGCACGGGAACCGGGCGGAGCAGGGTGATGCCTCGACGCGGAGCGGGGCGATCGTTCGTCCCATGTCCTCAGGTTCGGTGGTTAGACCTTCAAAAATCCACCCCAACCACCGAACCTCAGGAGGTGGGCCGGGAGCCCTAGGGAGTAAACATCACCAAGACCATCCTTTTATAACCCTAATGTAGGAGAAGGTCATGTAGCATCACTATTCAATGGATGTTGGTCATCCGTTTCGGGGGGGAAGCACTGTCTGACCTAATGATCGATTCCAAGACTCCAGGATGGGTTCCCGTATGTACGATTTTCCCAACGTAGTGGGACTCTCTTCACACACGAACACAAGTAAATGGGCGAGCGTCTGTCTCTCCAACAATCAAATGGTTTCGTGCACCCAAACATACAAAACAAAACAACAAACATGTCCAAATGAACAAAAGAAAACACCACAAAACAACAAGCATCACAACCAAAACAAGTCCAAATCTGCTGCTCATGTTCTCTTGCAAAACTCATCTAAAAGCTGCGAGGACAACATGGTTGAAGGCCTGGTTGATCTTCCAACCAACCACCACCGGCGCAGGAGGATAACAAGCAGGTGTTCTTCTTCGTCACAAAGTGCACCAGCTCCTCACGCAGCGAGGACCAGAAGCTGCGACCATTTCTTCCCAAACAATTTGTTTAATCATAATTAATCCACACACTCCATGTAGCAGCAGTTCCAAAGGGGTGCTGAACTGAGAGGTTAGGGGTGCCCAGAACATCCACTCACTGGATGGGACTAAACACCATCCCGACATGTGACTCCATGTTAGTATATATGGCATATGTTATAACTACATTCACCGCTAATATCAACCACCCCCTGGCCTTTTCTCAGCAAATATGACCGTCCCATGGAACCATTTGGGTATCAAATGAATGGTCGAGATCTCCGTTGGACCCTTGCAGGCTTGGAGAGTGGAACCTATGGAATTCCCCTATGGCCAAGCACTCGTCATTGGATGGTGATCTCTCACGTATGCTACATGCGTTGATCTTGACGACATACCAAAAACCCGCCCTGTTGTGTGCCCCAAATGGGGATCTGAAGACTTGTTTGGTAGACAGTGTGTTCAGATCTAAAACGGGTTTGCGGTAATACTTGGAGAATACTTGGAGGCATCATTTCTAGCAAATCCTCTTGGCGTTCGAAACAATCCTGCTCCCTTTCGTTACACTTCCCTTCTTGGGACTTCCTTAGGATGGATTTATGTCCCTGGAGCCGGGTTGGATGTTTTCGTCGGAACTCTTTACAGATCCACTGGGCCCGTTCTCTTCATCTAGGAGAAAACGGCCTTCCATCTAGGAGACCTGCGGCACTGCGAGCAAGAGAGCGGTTTTGTCCACGAGAGCCTCCCTTGCTGTTTCGTCGTTGTCTCCACATAAACACAAGTTGTCAATGAGTTCTCCAGCCGTTGGTCACAATGATAATGGCAAAATCAAATACTGATCTCCAACGGCAAAAAACACATAGGGCAAACCCGCTTTCTTCATCTCACTCGCGCCACTAAAGTCATGGTTCTCACTGATTTTGGCACCGCTTCCATGGCTGTCCTTAGGTCCTTCGCAACCTTTAATGGTGATGTTTGGTAAAAAGACGACACATCAAAACCAACCGACACGTCGTCGGACTGTTCGGGTCTGCTTTACAATCGCAGACCTCGCCCCTTCCCCGCATGGCTCGCGGCCGCGAACGCGACGCGCCTTAAACTCGTTCTGTCGGTCGGGCGAGCGCACGGCGCGGTTGCCGGGCTCAGGTGGCTCCAATAAGAGCCAAGTCCTCCAAGTTCGGGGGCCCAAGTTCGGTCAGAAACCCGAAACATGTTCGGTCAGGGTGGTTCTTTTTGCAGGGGCATCCAGGGGTTTGGGTCATTAGCATTGCATATTGGCTATCGATGGCTATGGTATTTCTTTAATACTGTGTGGTGCTATCTGGATCGGCATGTCTCAAGTTAAAGTGGACCCACCATGCCCCGCAGTTTAAGAAAGAGGAATGTGACAGTCTTCCTTTCGGGGCCTCCACGCAATACTTCGTAGCAAACTCCTCGTGCCTCCGTGCCGGTTCCAGTGATGAACTGGGCGAGCTTAAGCGAGCCGTGTCCGCATGAACCGGGTTTCGCGCAGAGCGCGTGCCGATGGTCATCGGCGCGCAGACGTGACGCAAGGTGACGTACGGCGCTTGTAGAGTTTGAAAAGCAGGTTTTCTTGAATGTCACCAGTGGGTTTGAAGTGCATGCGTGTGTTTTTGCTACACGTCGGTCTCTGCACCAACATTGCATTCGCCCGGGTCACATTAAGGGGTGCTTTGGGGTCGGCAAAACATGGCAGTCCCGTGTAGACAGGTCGTGCCTGGGAAAAGAACGGTGCAACTTTTTCTGTAGGGCTCCTGGCCCACCTCCTGAGGTTCAGTGGTGGGGGTGGATTTTGGAGGGTGTAACCACCGAACCCGAGGACATGGGAGGAGGGAGCCCTATAGGGCCCGCTAGGGCCCTATACCCCCGGCCATCCGATTGAAGCGTCCGCTCCTCGGCGGCACCTTCTCGATTCGATCCTTAGGTGAGTCCGTCGGCCCTTTTGCACCGGAAAGGGCCCGAGAGCTCGAGACCGGCGTGACGCAGCCCAACCCCAAAATAGCATGAACCTGGGGCCAAAACAACCAAACACAAATAGGTTGCATCAATATGGCCATTGAGATCCTTTACATCGGAAATGGCTGGGACTGGGGAAACATCCATTTCTTTCTGGTTGTTTTGGGCTTCCAGGAAGGGATGCGACACGATGTGACATGGAAACCATGAAGAAAACATGTACCAGCAGTTCCAAACGGGTCTTAATGCAGGTTAGGGGTACCCTTTCTTCGCTCACTGAGGGACTAAACACCACCCAACTCCATGTGACAGCATCCGACCTCACAGCTTGAGACCCCGACTTCACAGGGCCACGCCCAGGAGCTCTATAGAGATGGATGCTAGTCAAGGAACGCATGGCGCCACATGGCATTTTGGGGGTCCTAGAACTTCCAACAATTCTTTCATTTCATTGTCTCTAACATAACCCTATACTGTCGGAGTTACGTGATGGTTCCGGTTACCACGGAGGCCATGTTGGATTGTCCTCATGTCAGTATTGATTCCCCATCAAAAGAACACATCAGAACACATCTATTCTTTAAGCATGAATCCTGGAACCGTTTCTATTCTTGGGCCATTTGTCCAGTTCCATGAAAATAAAGCTGCAAAGCCTTTTTGGGTTCAGCTTCCCATGATCTCCAGGAACATGCGCCGCTTCGGCCTCCAGAAAAGCCTCCTCCCCCATGCACATGTCTGCCGGACTTGGCAGGTTTCGATGGAAAAGGCAGGTTCTTTCTGCAGTTCGGCGGATTTCGGCTGATCCAGGTATACCCACCGCCGACCGGTCGTCGCACGATCTTTACCGACGCGTGCGGCGAACGGTCTCGTCTCGTCTCATGCGCGAGAGCGTTCGCCGCACGCGGGGGGAAGGTGCTGGTCGTCGGTTGTCTCTTCACCGAGGCGCAGGGCCCAAATGCACCGACAAGGTGCTGGCGGCCTCGACGATGCAACAGGCATCGTCCCAGTCGCACTTGGGAGTGGCGGGGCTCGGGAGGACCTTCCTGCGAGACGGAGCAAAGACCAGTGGGAGACCGGTGGGCATGGTATAGTTGGATTGACACCTGGAGGGCCAATGCCAGCTTGCTGAGGTTTTTTGAAGGAAGTGAACTTCAGAAACTCCAGACATAGGCTAATCATATCTAGATGGCTATAGATGGATCAATGATGGGCTCTTTTGATTGTCTCATCCAAATTTTTCCATCCTTTTTCGTCAGCCTTCATGTGGGTCTGACTGACTCCGGGTCGGTGTGAAAATCACTGGAAACATCATATTTACCTAAAATTTGGAGTGGTGTTAAACGGCTTGACAGGTGTTCGATGGTGTTTGGAGGGTTGCCGGTCAATCTTCCAGTCCCACGACCCGCGTATGCGTGGCTCCTGGGCCGGGTGCTCTGCTTCTGCCACTGAACCGCGTAATTCCGCGGCAAACAGGCATTCGTGAGGAACTTCGCCACAGCCGTCCTTGGTGGCGACGATAAAACTGGATTGGCCCGGACTGGTTGAAGATGGGTGTATTTCAATACGGGGGAACCCAGCAAATGGGTTTGAAGGGGTTTGGTCTATATGTTCCTTTTTGAGGGAGAGTTTGGGAGGTCTGCCTATTTGAGCACAACCATGTTGTTCATCTGTAGCACTCTCACGACCATCCACAGCACTGTCAGTGCAGACTCATGAGGCTCACACAGTGTTTTTGCGTTTGGGCATAGATCCATGAACACAGGAAACTGTAGACTGGTGCATCCACACGAAACCATGTCTTTCGGTGACAACGGTCCAAACAATGTTTGATGGGTTAGATGGACTGGGCAGCACCCGCACCATCCATGGGACTGTAATAGATACCTACATGGATGGATCATGTTCATGGGGTCAATGTATGTAGCTATATGTGGAGTGTCTGGGTTATGCTGTGATGTCTATACAAATGGCAAAGTTGATGAACATATCACGTCCAATCACTCCAACGTTTGGGTTTTCACCCGTTTTTTTGGTTCTCCAATCAGTGTGGACACACAAGGGTTAGCGGCGCGCGGGCGTGTCCGGCTAATTCGGTGCTATTTACAGTGCATTCATGTCTCTCAAAAATTGTCGACATGCGTTTCGACTGCGCAGGCTCGCGAAATCTGGGGGCCCGCGGCGGGTGCTTCTATCGACTGCGCTCTCTCGAAGCAGCGCAAGGGAAACCTCGTGGTTTGGTGGTTCAAAGTCGACTTTTCGCGACAGGCGCAAGGGATCGGAGCGATTTTTTCCTGCGAAGTGCGGACTTTAATACCTTGGACATGGTCGTGATCTTCGAGCCGCTCTGCAGTGAATGGTGACTTTTGAATATACGTGGCTCGTTTGCAGATTTCGTGGCAGGCACAGCACTTGGTGAACCTCGATGTGTAGATTTTGTGGCCGGCGCAGCACTTAAAAAACCTTGAAGCGCTGGCAGATTTCGTGGCAGGTGCAGCGCTTTGTGAACCTCCAAGTGTAGATTTCGTAACAGGCAGAGCACTTTGTGAACCTCGAAGTGCAGATTTCGTGAAAGGCGCAGCGTGTGAGGTCGATTCTAGAGATCTAGACGCATTGGGGTTCAGAAAGGTGATGGTGGTGATGAAGGTGGAGATTGCGGTGATGGTGGCAGTGGTGGTGAGTGTGACTGTGAGTGTGAGTGTCTGTGCATGTGAGTGAGAGTGAGATTTTTAATGAGTGTGAGAGTGAGTGTGCGTGAGAGTGAGTGAGTGAGTGAGTGAGTGAGTGAGTGCCGATGTTGCGTTCTCGGTGCCCAAGGGGCTTTCCGCTGCGAGGCCTCAGAATTTCCAAGCCTTCCGGGTCCACCTGGCACCGAATCGATGATGAGATACACGACCGAAGCGGTCGAATTGACGAAGCCCAGGGCCTTTTTAAAGGGTTGACAAAAAGGGTTCCAAGGAGTAGCGAAAAACATCCCGTTTTTGGTTTCGCTGCAAAAGGCGTTTTTGGTGTCAAAAACAACGTCTCCAACTAATTCGTGTCTTGGCTACCCATGCGCAACATGTTGGATTATGGCGCCAAATCTCGTGCTTGCGTGTTTCAGTATATCCATTCAGGATGGTCAACGACCACTTCAAGCGCTCTACTTTTGCTCAGACTCGTCGCAATATAGTCTCCACCCCCCCGGTGTTCGCCTCTCGCTCGCGGCCCTTCACCTGCTCCCGCGCCGAGCGCTGCAGCTGTTCCAGCTGCTGGACCTGGCGTGAGCTGGTGGAGTTGGGTGCAGACCCATCGAGCGGGTGCGAGATGGCTGTGCGTCAAAGCATGCCGGACACCCTGGTTGACCGCGGATCAGTTCTCAACAGATTCCTCGATGTCCGGGATGTCAACCATCTCCGGTCTAATTTCTGAACCTTCCTGGAGGTCAGAACGCCCGGGAGGTCTCCTCTGTATTTGAGCTACACACTCGAGTTGGGTGGTTTGGGCTTGGAGCACAGGTTCTTAGTCAAATTCCACAAGCCTTTTGTGGCAGCAGTGATAGTGACACCGAGACTGTGATGGTCCTACATGTGGTTTGGTGTCGAGGTAATTTTTCAACCTTGTGGAAATAACATCACTTGCTGTAACCCATTGGCTTTGTGGGCTGTTAGGACATGGTCTGCTACAAAGGCAGCCCCTGTTGAAGGTGACTTTGCCACCTCCCATTTTTGTGTTGAAACTAGGCAGGAACATTTCAAGACTCATCTACATATATCCAAATCATCCCTATGGATTAAGTACCACCCTCTGAGACGGTGATCTGTTCGACGCAGCTTTATATTATCTTGTATATTTTTGAAGGTTTCGCGTCCAGTCGTACTGAACCTGAGACGAACCCTGTGGATCAATATAATAGGGAGACGAAGCTGATTCCCTTGAAATCATCATGGGATTACTGAATACATTATATACTAATACACTCCTTGGACATCATCGTGGAACTGTAGAGTCACTTCGCCCCGAGCGCCGAGGCACATCATTCAGGATCTGCTCGGATGGCAAGGGCACCTGGTGCAGACGGGCATCCACTCGAGACGGAAAGGAAAGACTGAGATCGGGTTGAAACATATATACCAAATTCTCGCAATGTCTGATGAGATCACGTACCGCCCAGTTTGGATGGTTATTGGATGGCAAGACACGTATGTGTCAATGGGTGGTCTATATCAACTAAACACGAAGTGGGTGCCTCTGGAAGAAAAAACCTTGTGTGTATCAAGTTGTAGGCTTTTAAGGTTGACCAACAAGGCGTGACTTAAGTGTAGCAAGATGTAGCAAGTGTTGTTTGCACTTCCAGCAAAAGGACTTGTTGCAAACTCAGCCTAGGTTTAATTTATGCGTCAGATTTCCAGGGTGACTCAAACATGAATTCTTGAGATTGCCGCTCTAGCAGCAAGATGAGAATGCAGCTTCCAAAACTATCCAAACATCCAGACTCCTCTAAAAACTCTCATGATGTCCGCCACATCCCGCTTGCACCCGAAGATCTATTTCACTTTCCCTGAAAATATGAAGGAAGTTGGATATATTCCAGAAGCGATGCCTACTTTAAGGTGATGTGCCCGCAATCCCAGGGTCCTGCGAAGAATAACTCCAACGGTGCGTGCGCACAATCGCAAACCAAACCATTTACCAAATTCCGCATGTATACCAACTAAATATATCGAAATACTTATTTGTCCAAAGGGGTGGTTTTGGTTTGGTTTTCAAGAGTCCACCTGATTAGTCTAAATCTGCCACTCCCATGGCTTCTCATAGCACACTCCTCTTCTCCTAAGCCTTTCTTCGCATCCACCGGCGGCGTGCCTTGGTCCGTCGCCATCGGTGCCGAGTCGGCCAACCCATGGGCCGCGCGCCGCGCTGCTCGCCGGCGCGCAGGTTGGTCCGTCGCCGCTTTCGCTGCGGCGCTGTGTTGAACCGAGTGGAGCAACGTGGAGCGGCGTGGTGGAGGTCGTTGTGGGTTCGTGAGGCGATCGGACCGCGAAACCACGACAACGGAGGAGTTGGAACTGGCATGAGCATTTTTTGGGTCAGTCATGGTTCACGTTGCGCTTCATCCACAGGAAGAGCTTCTTTTGAGGAATCAAGCCCCTGGTGTCCTTTTGCTGCGATTCTTGCTCTATGTTTGATTTGCGTCGAAACCTGGGCCATGAGAAGTCGCCAGTGGTGTGGAGTTCAACGTTTCACGCAGGAAAAGGACACGACAATTTCTACCTTACCCAGACCATCTATGTATGGAAAAGTTACCTACATTCGGTTCATAAATGGGGTCAACGTACTGCAACAACCATACATGAGTGTCTGCCTTACTTAAGCAGAGGGTTTGGGCACGCAGTCGTCCAAAAGTTGGCAATCACAATGCTGTGAGATACCCGGACTTCTTCCGGCAATTGACGTTGGGCCATTAAAACAAAGGTGAAGAGTTACTATACAGACTGGCTGTTCAGTCTTCACACAATGAGACAACATCAGAATTCATGTTCATGGCCTGGACGCCTCTTGGAATCCCAATGGCCAAGACAGTATGAGTATATGGCAATGGACGCAGATCGATCTCCGTTTTCCTAGAGAATGTGGGCCTGAAATCCCATGTTCCTGGTCTGCTAGAGAACCCTCTGTGATCCTCCGAACATGGTTAAGCAAAAACTGTCTACTCATTCTGTGTGACCGTGTCACCCAAAGGTTCTGGGGAAAATGGCTGATTGGCCAAGACTCTAGCCAAACCATTCCACAAACGTTGCTGATGTAGGAATGTGTCCACAGTGGTCTGAATGATAACGGCTAGTTCCTCGACAGTTCGCACACCCAATATGAACTAAAAATAACGTAGTCAGTGTGGGGTCATTTGCTTTCAGCTACTTCATGTGATTGAAAGCGAAACTGGGCACGTACTTTGTCTGGATGCAACAAGCCCTCCATTCATCTTGACATGGCCCGAGCTGGCGCCTGCAAATTTCCACCACAGTTGGTTCAAAAAAACATTACAACAAAATTTGTCGAATCACCTCATTTCCAAAGACGACTGCATAGAAGGTCTCTTGCTTCCCAACTCACCATATGGCCATGTGGGCTTGGTGCTGTCCGACTTCCTTCACGGCCGCTTCTTTATTTTCTCTTCAGGCGACTAGGCGATCCCCACTTCGCCCAGCACCATCGCGGGCTCTCGCGGTCGAAGATCCAGAACCTCCACGGCTTGAAAACGTCAGCAAAAAGCAGAGCAATTCGTGTCTGAGAACTTGTGGTTTGGACGCGGGTCTTATTTCTTCTCTTTGTAGTGAAAATCTCCGTGCGTGCAAGAGCACTCTTCAAAACTCCTCCTTGTCAAAAGCATACCAGATGTTTACATAAAGCTTTGAAACATAGCCACATTGCCTGTGGACGGGGGAAGTGAATATTCACGCAAGGCCCCGCCACACATACGTATGGAACCAAATACCAAGCTAAGACAGTTGATTGGGGCGTTGCCTGCTTAAATTAAACTAAATAGGTCTATGGAGTGTCTGGAACCTTTTTAAGCTTGGTTGAATCCGGCAACAGCAACAGTGATCCGTCATGCAGCAGTGCGTACCTTTTGTGAAGCTCCTCAGATGGGTTGAAACGATGACTTTGCTAGCCAGGACTATGTTGTGGGGACAAACCCCAGAGCTTGAACAAAACATGGCGCCCTTTGTTACTAGTAGCGATGCCCTTGTTCCAAGTAGCTTCTTGTACTATTTGCACGTTACTTGGATGACTCGACATGGAATTTCGGCATCTGGTGTCAATTTCAGGGGGACCTGGGCCTTGTAATTGTAATTATAGGTTTTGGAATGTTTTGAACAAGGCCAACTTCAACTAGCGGATCTATCTCCACTCCACACTTCTGGTCTGCGCCTCTCCACTCCACACTTCTGGTCTGCGCCTCTTCGTCGGATGCCTCCTGTGACAACAAACCTAACTTCAAAGCAAACAAATGAAACGGCCAATACTTTGTAAGACAATGGAATAGTCATCATCGAGGTTTTGGTTGGGAGATGTAGTATGACTCCTGTTTCCACTTGTAAAGCCGTCTCTGTCAGTAGAAGAAGGCTTTTGCACCTGCTTGACCAAAACTGGCAAGGAAATTTCAAACCTTTGCAAAGGAAGCGGATCTATCTACACGGTCCACCATTCACTTCCAACTTGCAGAGATGCCCACGATTCTCCTCCAGCAGGGCGAATCGGTTTGCCAGAGAGACAGCCTCCCAAAAAGACTCGGATGTGACTTGAGGCCGAGGGTAGGTGACGAAAGCTAGCAGGGATGCATCCGTGTCAGTGGAGGCGAAGCATACAGCGCCATCCAGTGACAAAGGATTGGTGGGACATCAAGCGGAGTGAGGCAGTTCAAGAATGCTCTGACTAGCTTCTTGTTACTAGTAGCAAAAAGGAACCTAATAGGAATGGCCTCCACCCTAATATCGATGGCCTCCACTCCACCTAGGGCCTTCTAGCTACTAGTAGCTTCTTTTGATACTAGTAGCGACGGCCTACGACCTACTTCCTTATAGGTCGGGGCCAAGTCTTGGAAGTTCCTTGACTTTAAAGCTTTCAAGTTAGCATCAAACTGGACTTCTATAGGGTATAAGTATAATTGTGTATAATTCATACTTTTTGGTTCACAGATCCCGGCATGGCAGAAGAAAAGAACCGGTGGAGCGAACATGAACAGAAAAAGATACGATGAACGCCTTGGGTACCGGAGGTCGACCTAGGGGGTTGTGACCGCCGTAGAATGATCAGGATCATCATGTAGTCGTCCCTAATTAGATGACCGTGGCACGGTGTCCAATACATTTTTAGTGGGGATCTACTTATCTATCTATTTTGGATCTATATAATGATCCATGACTCGGGTTTCCACCTTCTCGGGGCGTTTCCCACCGATGCGGCCATCTTCTGCGCGTTTACTTCGGTCGGCCGTGTGAAGAATGCCATTTTTCAGGGGAGGAGCTTCGGTCGTTCGATTCGGCAGCAGCGAAGCCAGGAAAGCTGGGCCTTCGGAGATGGTAGCTTCTTGCATGCTACTAGTAGTAACCAGCACCACCCAAAGGGTGGTTTTGGGGTCTATAAACCACCCATTGGGTGGTGCTGGAATGCCCTTGTTACCAGTAGCGATGCCCGTTGTGACTAGTAGCTTCTTGTTCCTCGTAGTAATGCCAGGAGCTACTAGTAGCTTCTTTGCTTAACCCTTTCGGATTCGGAATTCGAAGCATGAAATCCATGGTGCTCAGGGTCGACACAGCGTCGAGTTTCGGTGGAGCGAAAGACGATCTGAGAGTCTGAATCCACGGCGTGGACCGGCGTCTGACTATCCTCCTCCTACACTCCCCATGAACTCTCATGAACTTGATCTTAGACGGGAAAAGTCGACCAGGTCCACCATGTTCAACCATGTCTGAGAAACAGAAAGAGATCCACTTAGATGGGCCTGGTCGTTACTAGTGTGTTATGAGGGTTACAGGCATTAGCTAGTGCCACTATAAGGCTTTACAAGCGTTAGCTAACGTCTCTAACGGTATACCCTTAAGACTATTTTCAACAGGATTTTGCTGACATTCGTTCTGTAAAGATTGTCAACATAATTTCAAAATGAGCATATATAAATGATTTCAATTGCTTGTTGTAAGAAATTGCACAAAAATCTGGGTGTGCTTTTCACTGAAAAACTCAAAACATGTTTGCTTTTGAACATGAGCCTTGGCTGGCAAGTGAAATTGAGCCTTTCCTTGGCAATTGAAAACACATTGTCGTTGCCCGTTCAACATGAGCCTTCACTGGCCACTGAACATGTAACATCAAGCTGTGCAGGGGTGATTTGTTTCTACACCAATTTCAGGTGAAAGGGCAGAAGAGTCTTGGTGCTTTCACCTTTGGTGTGCACCATTGCTGCCAAGACAGCCTCCAACTGGATGAAGCACTGGTCCCTGTTGGTTCCCATGTGGCTGAATGGGTTGCTCTATCTTCACTGCAAAGCTTCAGCAAAGAGACCCATGCATAAGCTTCGCCATTGACACTGAAGATCCCCAACACCTCTCCTGCTTCAAAGGACCTGCCACCATCCACAGCAAGCAACACAGTATCACCTGTAGAGACTTTGCCTTTGGAAAGCTTTGCAGAAGCACTTCTCTGAAAGTGGTTAGGACCAAATTCATTTTGAAGAAATGCTGCAAAAGCCTTTGGAGGATCCCTTGGTTGTAACACAGCATAACCAGACTGAAAGAGATCAGGTTCTCGAGTCTTGAACAGCTCCTCTGCCAATGTCTCTTCAAGTAATGACTTTTCAAAGACAGAGGTATTCATGAGGGGATTTGCAGCCTTCTTGACTGCCTTGTAAGAAATGAGCTTGTAAGGGCAATTGCAAACTTGAACAGGCAAACTTTTTCCTCCACTCCCAAATCAATCAAACCTCACTCTTCTCATCATCACTGGGCCTCCTGTACTTTCTCTTCTTGCGGGCTGTCTCTAGCATACTGCAATCTTCTTGCAAGAACTCAAAGACAGCCGCCAACTGAGTAGGATCCAGGGCCACAACCAAGTCTGGCGATGCCAACCTCTTCAAAGGGCAGTGGATGTCCACTTGTGTTCCATTGAGACCCACTGTCACCACCTGTGGACTGGTCCTCTTCTGTCTCTTTGGCTGGTCCTTCTCCTCTTCAAAGATCTCTTGAGCTTCAGCTCTTGCACCTTTAGGCTTGATGCCAAGCTTGCATTCTTGGGAATGCTAGAGGTGCAGCTTGAGCACAGCAAGGTCAAAAGAGCCTGTGAAGTCCACTGAAGCTTCAGCCACTCCCTGCCATAATCGTTCCCCACCAAGCCCTCAAAAATGGCGCGCAACTTGCCATCGCCAAAGCTCATCTTCAGGGAGCGCTCCATGACCACTTTAGGAGGCATGCTTGCAAGAACTTGTTCACTACCAGATCCAGAAATGGGCTGCGCAAACAAAGATCCTGGCATTGGGTGCAAGGTTTTGTGTTCACACAGAAGGTTGAGCTTGCAAGAGCAACAAACTTATAATGAGTTTACAAGAGCAATGGAGAATGAGCTTACAAGAGCAATGAAGAATGAGCTTCCAAGAGCAATGCAAACTTGAGCTTACAAGAGCCATTGAAGCCAAACACCAAATTTTTGACAGAAAAACATAAACAATTTCTGGGTCAACATACTTTTTCCAACAGTTGGATGTAAGCAAAACTTTTACTTTTCATACTGTTTTGGTATACTTCTAACCTTGCTAACGCCCTTAGTGCTAATGTACCTAACCCTGCTAACCCTCTAAGGACAATATGGTCATTAGCTTAACACCTTAGCTAATGTTCATAACTCTTAAACTACATTACAGACATTATAACCTGCTATAAGCTATTGTTAATATGCTATGACACTCTTAGAATGTAAAAGCTAATGCCTATAACCCTCATAACACACTAGTAATGACCAGGCCCATCTAAGCATCCTCAGGTCAACTCAAAAAAGGACGCATTCCAACCAATTCCAAGTCCCAGAAAGGTGGAAAAGAAAAACGATTGGGTCTTCCTTCAGCCTGGGAGCCGCTGCGGCCCTGCCTGGCGATGAGCCTCCATCAATTTCATCCAGTCGGACCGCGTTTTGTCATCGAACTTCTGACACCTTGGAAGGAAAGGCAATCCAGCGCCTTTCCGTGGCACTCCGCATGGGTTGTGGTGCCACGATGCCGCGGCGAGGTCGGACGCGGGACGTCTTTCACCACGCCACCGTACGTTTGATTGTCGTCTGCGAGTAAAAAGAAATTGCATTGAATGGGTAGACTGGTTGATTCCTTTCTTCCAGAGGGTCGTTGCCTGGGAGGTTGAGCTACACACTCCAGTGGGAAGGGGGAGAGCATTTCCTCCCGTGCCGTTTCCTCCATGGGCCAGAGTGTCTCCCCATTGAAATACACATTTGGGGTAGTGAAAAGAAAAACCGTGTCTTTTGCAATACCTAGCAATCATGTTATCGTTTTTTGTTACTGTTATCGTGTTCTCAGGTGTTGGGCTCTTTGCACACAAGAACTGTCAAATTAGCAGGTTTCCATGCATGGTCTTTGGTGGTAAAGACACGGCAGTAGCAAAGATAAGAAATAAACAGCTAAACAAGACTACCGCGCTGCACACTTCTGCCCTTGAAAAGGTCTAATGAAAACGATCAAATGGGTATTTGCCCACCAGGGGTGTTTTTTGCTACATGTCCGTATCGTTTCCGTTATGGTTTTGTTATCGTTCCGGACATCTCTGCAGGTTGCCATTTTCGTGGTTCATGTACTGAACCACATCCCATGAGTTTCAACCTGTCCCATCACCAATAGATAGGTAATTTGTAATGGAAGAGTTGACTATCCTCCTCCTACACTCCCCCCTGCTGAAGGAAGAGGTGAGAATCTAGCTTTCAAATCTAACTTTCCACTCAGAAACCGCACTGACTGGGCTGTTTGCAGGTATAATCATGTTATCGTTTCTTTTTACTCTTATCGTTTTCTGGTGTAGGAATGTATCAGCGGCCCCTCTCCGGGCTTTCGGGCTCAAGGTTCAAACACCCAGCGAGCATCCGCCTGGACCGAAGGAGGATGAAAGAGGGACCGGTCGAGCAATGGCGGAAACTCGGGTCTACTAGGAACAAGAAGCTACTAGGAGCTGGCCTTACTACTAGGAGCAAGGACACTACTAGGGGCTCCTGGGCAACCCTTGGAACCCCTGGAACCCTAGAAAGCCACGAAAACTCAAGCCCATCAATGGAGTTGTTCTCGTCTTCCCAAACTGCATTGACCGGGCCACACATCGATCGAACATCAAACGCATGTTCTGGTGGGAGTCCCTGCTGGGGCTGATTTTGCTGCGTGGGCCTTGGACAGGCTCAAAAGTCACGCATCACCCACGGAAGCCGGCAGAGAAAAAAGAGAGCAACAAATCATCTGCATGACACACACACAGAGTTCACACATATGTATTATACATGACTATAGACTATAATTGCATACGCGCATGATCACGCATGTTTGCACCGCTTGCACATGAGTCAACAATGCTCCGTTCGTCGAAAAACAACGCTCAGTTCCGTCACGGAAACCCGGCAAACGCGTGTGCATGAGGTTTCTCAATCCAACTGGGGAGGGGTCAGGTCGTAATCAAGAGTCTCCATGACCGGAGAACAGCCACGAACACCCAACCGGGGTTCATCCCCGATGGGTTGGTACTCAGAAACAAGGGCCTAACACAACACATCATAACACCATTTCTGCTCCGGCGTGCTTGGTACCTCAATTGTCATTGAAACATATGAATGTAGTCGCTTGATGAATCAAACCAACCCTCCCAATGTGGAATTGAAAAACCTCTTCAGATCTCTTCAGGCTTGAGGTGGTCTTTTCATCAAGAGTCCACATTAAAGTGCTGAAACATCAGCTCACCTCCAACCCTCGCCCATGGACAGAAACGCCATGAGTCCCAAGATCCCTGGGACCGAGGCGACTCATGCCTTATGTTGTTTTTGTTGAAGGTGCAACCCCAGTAGACCTCAGCTAAGATGTAAGACTTTTCTAGGAGCATGAAGGAACCGGACTTTCTACAGTTTGAATGTTTGGAACTCTTGCTCTGGTTGCCTACCACTGGATGTACTCAGAATTTGCACGAACACACAGCCAGACTACATCCGTGGCCCGGAGGACTCAGAAACTGAAAAGGATAGAGAGAGAGAGAGAGAGAGAGAGGCTCACCAGGCCCCTATAACTTGGCAGAAGCTTAGAAGCTACACTCCCTGAAACAGTCATCGAAATCATCACCATCTCTTCCCAAAATGCTGCACCTCGGAAGCTGGACACTTCGGACAAATCAAGGACTCCGCCCCACCCAAAAGGGGTTGATTGGACCATCCCACTCCACCAGATAGGACGGCAAACCCCCTTCAACAAGCCCCCTGCCAAGCGGCGGGTTGTTGCCGTCGCCCTGTTGGATGCCCTATAGAGAAGGCGCAGGACAGAACAGAGAGTGATCCTAACAGTCTGGCGGGAGGGAGTTGGGAACTTCTACCTTTAGACCAAAGTTTTGGTCTTAAGTTATGGATGACTTGAGATGACTCTCCAAAGATGAAGCTCCAGAGCAAGAAGCGGCATTGGACTCCTGCCACACCCCTGAAGGTCACCACCGAAGCAGCACCGAAGACGGCCGGCTTTCCACACCGGCCAGTGGCCCAAACCGACCGGCCGCCTGGAAGGACTGTTGCAGTTGCTCACGAGGCGTGGCACCTGCCCAAGCCGAACCGAGGCGGAAATCTCGGCCGTATCTGGATGGTAGGGATCCAACGTATGCGAGCCACCCAGGCGGGCTCGTGGACTCCGCCTCGGTGGAGGTTCAAGAATGCTCTGACTAGCTTCTTGTTACTAGTAGCAAAAAGGAACCTAATAGGAATGGCCTCCACCCTAATGGCGATGGCCTCCACTCCACCTAGTGCCTTCTAGCTACTAGTATAGCTTCTTGATACTAGCGATGGCCTCCAACCTACTTGCGATGGGCTCTGGTGATCCATGTGCACCACACCACTCTTACGAGAAACCTGGGGGCATCAGTTGCAAAGATATCCCAAACCCTGGTCTACTTTATAACTACACTATACCGCCTGGTCTGCTTGCACCGAAGGCCGTGGAAACGTCCTCCTCCTCCTCCTTCTCCTCCCCCTCCTCCTCCACTCCACATCTTTTGCCGGCCGCCTTCGGCTAGTTAGCAAACTCGGAGTACCTGCAATGATACAAACCCATTCACGAATCTAAGCCAGTTCTATAAACCTTCAAACGCCACCTCCATGTTTAGAAGCTTATCTCTACGGACCCGGAACTACGACTTTGGTTGGGGTGTCCCGTCTCCACCGATGCTTACAAGATTCTACAAGTGCTCTGAGAAGGACATGCCCCGAGAACAAGACTGGATTGAGGGATGAGCTTTGCTTGGTTCGTGGATCAACTGCAAATTATTTTTGCGGTGATCTCACAGGTGATTCAGGAAGACGAGTCCAACTCAAGCGTACCCTCTCCCAATTGAAGCCCTACCCAACCCCACTGGGGTGACCAAGCGTGCGTCTGCCCTTTGCCTCAGCAGTCGAGCGGGTTAGTTGGTTGGTTGGTCGGTTGATCGATCGGCTGGTTGTTGGTGTGAGCACCTGCTCGTCATGAAGCTTGCGAATGAAACGACATCCCCAGTAAATGCCTAAAAACTGGCCGCCGTGGGCCATGTCCTTGGATCAGGACAGGTACAGGCCGCCTGAAAAGAGGTTCACGATGGTTCATGCCTTGCAGCCTGCTGCATTGCCTTGCAACGTCGCCCCAACTGCGGCTTAACACCCCACATGACAAGAAGCCTTTCCCGACAAGCTGTAATGTAGCCCCCACCCACCCAGCCACCGCTGTTCCACACTTGGGGAATCTACAACCAGCCAAGGAGATTGGGTGCCAAATGTTTAAATAAGGCTTCTTCCAAACAATGGTTTACCCATCCAAAGCCAAACGACATTCAGTCCGCCAAGAAGCATGCTTTCGAAAAAAAGTGGAAAAGCCCAAAGGCTTCGAAGGACCCGGCGTGAACTCACGTCGAAAGTTGGAGCCAGCACTGATTGCAGGACGCGAGACTCTGAAGGTTCCTTATAACCTCATTTTAGACTGGGAGTTAGTCATACAAAAACACGACTCGGCGTGAGGTTTTGAGACGGTGAGGTTTTGAGTTCTCATCTGGTCCAGCCTTGAGATACCCAAGCATAGCTTCACTAGGATGACTCCACAAGGAAAGCATTGGCAGTCTGGGCCGCAGAATCACAAGGTACAAACACAAGTTGTTTTGTTTACAGTATTTCTTTCTGGCAATCCTGCCCAGACTCTCCTGCCCAGCAATTGGTCCCTCGAAACCTAAGGATTTGAGACCCCAGACCCCTCCATATATATGAGGCTGGGTGCGTGTTCATTTTGTGGGGGGGAACAACTTTTCCAAACGGACTTCGCCTCCCGAACCGGAAGAGACATGAAGACACACCCAACCACTGTCCGCCACAGTCCGAAGCCTTCAGAAACAACACGGTGTCTGACCTCACAATCACACAAAAATAGTGCCCTTGGAAGATCTCATACTTGAAAGACTCGTGGTGAAAGCAAACAACACACATATGAAAGACTAGTGAAAGCCATGCAGGTCGACCAGGGCCCTTTCTCAATCTCTTTCGCCCAAAACTTCCCAGGGACTCTCTTGGCCCCCCGGAACGTGTCACGGATGCCCATCACTCAGCGGCTGCAAGCGCCGTTGGATCCACAGGTTCCCACCATGCACTTGCAGGTGCCAAACCTCGCAGCCAACGACTCCGGCGACGGAACACGGGGGAACACACGCAAACACACGCACGGCACGAGCGCGGACACGGGGAAGCTCCCCCAATATCGTGCCCCTCCGAGCACTTCCTGGACTCTAAATCCCGGGGGCAACATGTGACCCTGGGAAACGAGGATGCATCGGGCGCGGACCCCAAAACCGGGTGAGGGTTCATGATTCTGGATCGACAAGCAAAAAGGCAGCTGGTGGTGCAAAGGGGTCATGTGTTCACCACAGGTACCGGTTGTCTGACCAAAACAAACTGCACCAAGATGGATTATATACAGAATATGCTATTGGGACCACGTCGATTGTCATGGAATGGAATCCTCCCGAAGGGACGATGACATTCCAATCCTATGAGAAACCTCTAGCTCCATCTGGCTCATATGTGACAGTGAGAGTGGAACCAGCTCTTTGCTCGCCATACCCTGAAACAGATAGGGCTGCTACGATGCAGGATATTCGACCAGTGACGCGGCAATTCTCCAAGGCTTCAGGTTCATATGAACGAACAGCTGTCCAAGGAGATAACACTGCAACTCCTTTCTTTGACAAAGAGATTTTTGATGATGTTGAGGAAGCAAAGGGCGCCTCATTGTACCTGAGGAAGGTCACACTTATCAGAACAGAGGCGCTTGCAACGCAGAATGTTCATGATAGTTTTGCTCAGCTTCCACCTCCCGGAAATCCTGTTTGGTGGCTGGCGACAGACATGGAGGCTATGGACGACTGGAGAGCTGTAGGTCGCCATGATATTGTCCTTGATGCCAGACAGCAACCAGTACGAATTGATATTGATGCAGCTCTGCGGTCCAATGAGCCAGGAGATAAGCCCCTCTCAAGAAAAAATGTCATTTCACTGCAGAAAGCTTTGCAGATGCCGATTTGGTGTGAAATACAACTTCCTGGAATCGATACTCTGCGACGCGTTTTGCAAACGCCGATTGTCTATCCACCAGTCCCATGGAATGACATTAGACGGTATGTTGGCCAAGAGCAACTGGATATGTTTGATGAAATGATCCAGATTACTCCAGATGAGTTTGATGAGGTGAAAGCGGTCAACATCTATACGGATGGTTCTTATTTTGGCCAATATGACCATCTGGCAGGATGGGCATTTGCTGCGGTAGCTGATGTAGGGGATCCCATCTGCCTCGCAATTGACTTCGGGATTGTCAGCCTGGAGCCGTTGGAAAAAGGATGGATTGGGGCCACTAGGTCTGATGCTAGGGCGGGCGAGGCCACTGCATTGGTCAGAGCATTAGAATGGGCATTGGCACACCGTCAATTCCAAGAGGTGAATTTCTGCTTTGACGCTCAGAGTGTGGGATTCGGTGCGGATGGCATCTATGGCTTCTCACTGCAAGAGCTCCCCCTGAGGATTGCACGAGCATTGACCCTCGCTTTGCGGCAGCAAGAAGGAGTTGAAGTTACGATGAACTATGTTAAGGCACACAGTGGAATTTTCTACAATGAGCTTGTTGACGCCATGGCCAAATTGGCAGCCAAAGAACAACGAAATTTCATTGATGAAGATCGCCCAGACTACTGTGCCACAGCTACGGGCCCACGATCGATACTTGACAGCTTATGGCTATATATGGGCAACCAAAGTGAGGCCTATCCAAGTATTTCAAATGGAAAGTTAGTTCTGCCGGAGTATGGCCAAGATTCTGGACTAGAGGGGAGATTACCCCCTGCTGTTTTGCCTGATCCGACACCGCACACCACTGACATCAAGACGGTGAAGCTTTCGGCAATCACGTATAATGTTCAGAGCCTTGGGGCACGTGCCGGACCTGGACAGACCCAATACATTCGAGAACAGTTAGCCCATGGTGGTTATGAGATTGCATTCCTGCAAGAAACTCGGACTAAGCACTCTAACATGGTGGTTTCAGACAGCCACATCAGGTTGTGCTCTGAGGCAAGGAACGGGAAAGGCGGGACAGAAATCTGGTTGCTGCGGCATCATGGGGCATCAACCAAAGAGCTTTTCCCAAAGCAGTCGATACAAGTTCTGTACTCAGATAGTGAGATCATCATCGCCCAGGTCATCTACATGTCTATGGCTTGTCTCCTTTGCTCGGCGCATGCGCCACATTCGGGACATTCAGCGAAGGTTATTGAAGACTTTTGGGATAAGCTGACAGTTGAGCTGCTTCCCCTAAGTAAAAGACATGCCAATGTTCTGATTGGAATCGATGCTAATGCACATTTTGCATCAGGGAACGGACAGGCTGTAGGAGACCATGGCCTAGAAGAGCAAGAAAATCTTTCAGGGCGATGCTTCAAGGATTTCCTGCATAAAATTGATGGTTTTCTGCCTTCGACATATGCTTGGATCCATGAAGGAGAGACCACTACCTGGGTAAGTAATGTTAATGGCCATAGGGCACGCTGTGATTATTCTGTTTGCCCTGCGGATTGGACTAAGCAGCAGATTAAAACCTACCCGGTCTATTGGCTTGATGAAGGAAATAGTGGTACGGATCACGCACCACTCGCTCTAGACTGTTGCCTTCAACAGAGGGTAAGAGGACGGCCAGGGGTGCGCCAGCAATTCGATCGAAGAGCACTCCAACAAGCTGACTCTAGATGGCTGGCGCAACAATTTGCTGACTTTCAGTCTCCTGCATGGCATGTGTCAGTCGATAGACATGCAACGACTGTCACTAGGTGGATTGAGGAAAAGTTGACTACCATCTTTCCAGTGGTGAAGACCAGGCCAAGGAAATCCTATATTTCCCAGAAGACCTGGAAGATGAGAGGAGAACGAATCCGACTCAAGAAGTCTATTCTATTTGCACAATCAGAAGCCGGAAACTGCACACTGCAACATGTGTTCGATGCCCTCAAACAACTGCATCCTTTCAGTCATCGACAGGCTTTCTTTGAGTTAGTCGGTTGGTTACGCCTGCTGATTGTCAGGAAAAGGGCCCTTGCAGGCCATACAAAACTCTTGACAAGAAGCTTGAAAACCGATAGGACCATGATGCTGGAAGAGATTGCTAGTCAATCTAGAACCATGAATGCAGCTGAGATGGCGGCTGCACTTCGTTCCATTGGTATTCGCAGTAGGAAGAAGCCTTCCTGCATTATGCCGCTGCCCATGGTTCAGAATGCTGCAGGCACGATTATTAGTACACTGGAGGAGTTAGCTGAGACATGGAGGCAACACTTTGCCAGACAAGAGGACGGGTCCTGTGTTGAACCGACGGAACAGCTGAATGAAGTATCTCGAGCCATTGAGCACAAAATCAAGCCCAACATCGACGATTTACCAACATGGCTTGAGATAGAAGCAGCCTTTCGACGCACATCAAAAAAGAAAGCCTTCTTTGACGACGGGATCTCTGGAGACTTGCTAGCCGCTATCCCGGCATGTATGACAAAGATTTTCATGCCGTTGTTTATGAAAAAGGTCCTCTACCAACGTGAAGCCCTGATATACAAGGGCGGCAGGCTGATCCCAGCCTTTAAAAAAGGGTCGCCATTGCGCTGTGAAAACTACAGATCGCTCTTTGTGTCCAGCCCTGTGGGAAAAGCTCTCCACAGTCTATATAGAGGGCAACTCGGCAAGCAATTCGAGCAATCACGCTGCAGCATGCAACTTGGAGGATTAAAGGGACATGGCATTACACACGTGTCGCATTCGATCCACCTTTGCCATAGCTGGGCTATTGCAAATCATTGCAGCTTTGCTGTCCTGTTTGTAGACATACAAAATGCCTTTTATCGGTTACTAAGAGAACACATTGTTTCTGGATCCAATGATGAGCGAACTGCACAAGCTATCTTCGATAGCCTTGCACTGCCACAGGAAACGTTTGATGAGTTCTGCGAGTTCTACGACCAAGGGCCGGCGCTTGATAACTCTGGCACTAGCCCCTTCATGAGGAGCTTATTTCGTGAATTCTATTCACGAACGTGGTTCACTGTCCCAGGATCAGAACAATGGACGCAAACCAAACGAGGAAGCAGACCGGGGGATTCCTTTGCTGACATTTGTTTTGGGTTCGCATTATCAAAGTTGCTTCATCGACTCGAAGACACATTGGTCTGTCGCTTTCCGTTTTTACAGTTAGGCTGGAACGGGAACCATGACCCCTTTTGGCCGGAAGCAAATCAGATTCTAGGACCACTGATACCAGTGTGGGCAGATGACTTAGCGCTGGTGATCTTCCATGACTCGCCGATAGACCTGCTGCGTCTCCTACCAGAAGTCACGACTGAAGTCCTTCATCAGCTTGCAGTCATTGGCTTACAGCCAAATATGAAAGCAGGCAAGACTGAGCTTCTTCTCGATCTCAGAGGCAAGGGCTCGCTACGTGCAAGACAAGAGTTGGCGCATCAGAACTACCAGTTTCCATTAGCCATGTCCTTGATTACGGAGGCTTTGCGAGTGGTGGGAATGTACCGGCATCTAGGTACGATTATCCAACTTGGTGGTAGAACGCAAAAGATATTAAGATCAAGTTTGGGACGGCCCATGAAATTGTCACAAGATACCGGGCACAAATTTTCTCGAACAGGAAACTGCAACTCCGTCACAAGCTCCAACTGTTTAACTCTCTGGTGATGAGCACTATCACCTTCAATGCTGCAGCTTGGAGTACAACTACGAAAGGACAAATCAAGCAGATTGAGAATGGGTTTGATAAACTCCACAAGCGCATTGCAATAATGCATCATGGGGCCCATGCGCTCACTTGGAGCCATGCGCAGGTATATACTGCCTTGAACCTGCCTGACACCGACACCCTCCTTAGAGTGGTCAGGCTTCGGTATCTGGCACAAATGGTCCGGGTGGGACAGCCCCACTTTTGGGCATTGGTTCAGATTGAACAAAGGTGGTACCAGACTATCCTGGAGGACTTGGCATGGTTACAGTCACTGTGCACTGAAGATGAGGTGCCAGATGGAACTGCTGAGAGCTGGTCTTTGATGTGTGATTGGGCACTAAGAAGACCCCAGCAGTGGAAAAGACTGCTGAAAAGAGCGCAGGCAAGAGCCATTGCGCACCATAGAAGACGCCATGAATGGGAGCAATGGTATCGATGGGTTTTGGATTATTTGACAGAAAATGCTGCGCTTCAGACACTTGAAGAGCTGCGAGCTGATGAGCACTTCTGTCTCCAGTGCGCCAAGAGTTTCGCAACACCGGCAGCGCTAGCTGTACATGCTTTCAAGATCCACTCTCGTAAGAACATTGTCAGATATTTTGTCGATGGACAACAATGTGTACTCTGCCTAAAACACTTTTCGTCAGTGTTAAACTTGCAAAACCATGTCAAACGAAGTAAAAGATGCCTGCAGCACTACATGTCAGGTGCCATTCTTGTCGAGCCAGAGCCCGGAGTGAATAGTAAAAAAACATGCCAAGCACGAGAGGCCATGCCAGACCCTGTGCTGCAAGGTGAAGGGCCTCGATTTCCAGCCGAAGGTTCCAGCCAGAATGACCCTTTTGTAGCAGGTGAAACTAGAAAGCTTCTGTTGGCGTGGACAAATGCTTTTCATTGGTGTACTGAAGAAGCATTGCTGGTTGAACATCTAAGAACTGCTACTAAATCCGCAGCATTGTTTCCAGCAGAAATCCGACAAGTTTTCAAAGACTGGCAAACACAGATCACCAAGAGCGAAGAAGTTACTTTGCGAGCTTTGGTATCTTTTCGGACATTCGAGCTCAAGTTTGGGTTTGATTGGTTTCAAACAGGCGTCAGTAGGACCTGCAGCAAAAAAGACGCTGTACGACAGATCGAGACGATCACAGCGACGATCCAAGATCAGAAGTTTGTGTGTTACCGACAGCCTGTCTACACGCCAGTCATATTTGCCCATTTGTTCTCAGGCCATAGACGTTTTGCTGATGTTCAAGATTGTATCGAAAAGAAAGGCTATGTGATGATTTCAGTGGACATTATTTTTAATGTCACGCTCGGTGACCTCAACCGGCCAGATACTTTCGCACTTTTCAAGCGAGCGCTTGAGGAGAATGTGCTCCAGGGGATTGTTGCAGGGCCCCCATGTGAAACATGGTCGCGAGCCCGCGGCAAACCCCTTAGCGATGGCACCTCCGGACCGCGCGTAGTGAGAACAAACGCTAGACCCTATGGTCGAGTAGACCTCACGCGGAAGGAAGATGAACAGGTCACCTTCGGATCCCGTCTACTTGCTGTGGCGGTCAAACTGCTATGTATAGCTCTTGTGAACGGTAAAACCGGTGTCCTTGAGCACCCAGCGGGAGACGACAATGAGCCGTGGCTCGTCTCCATCTGGAAAACCTCCATCATGAAGTTGCTCCAGCTTTACAAAAGAGTCAGCAAAGTCCAAGTGCTCCAAGGGTTTTACGGTGGAAAGACTGTGAAGCCTACTGACTTGTTGTTGGTGAATGCCACGGACAATGCAGCAGAGACTCTTTTGTCTAAGCGGACTACATCATTACCGCTTACTGCGGCTATCGGAAAGGACGCAGAGGGTAAGTGGAAGACATCAGAACTGAAGGTCTACCCGCCCGATTTTTGCGAAGCGATCGCAACACTGTGCGCCGATAGCCAGCCCCGTCCTGAAGTCAGTGTGCCATCACCAGAGTGGTTTGGGGATGTTTTGACGGCCCTCAACGCCTCATTTGATTCCACTGCCAAGATGGGACAGGATTTCGGGAATAAGGGGCATAATTTAAATGCCAATTAATGCAACCTGCCGCAGACAATCGTCCTTGGCGCAAGAGAAAAGAAAAGAACATATGCTATTGGAGTCACTAGACATGGTCAAACTTAATGTAGACTCTTAAGATCTTAACAAACCCAAACATTAACTTAACATGGATAGCAACACCATATAGGATATATAATATATAATATATATATAACATACACGAAATACTTACACGTAACTACAATAATTATGTCACACATTTTGACCCAGCACAGCACACTTTGGGAACGGCCCGGTCGGAACGCGCCCCCCCCGGTGTCCAGCTTAGAGCCATGGCAAGCGGGCCAAACGGGCCGGCCGCAGGCCGGGCTCTGTTCTGGATGGGTGGGGAGTTGCTGTCCAAACGACTCATGGTTTTTTTTCAATGGGGGATGATGGAAAAGTGAAGGGGTCAAGGGGTCCCACTCAGGGAAGCTCCGGAAGGAGCTGGAAGACTCGAAGACGTTGATCCACACGCAATCGATGATGAGGCAATAGGTCAAGTAATGTGTACATGTATATGTTGGGGATGGAAGAAGAATAGAGTAGAGATATGAAGTCAAGCGAGCAAAGAAACTATACTTGGAGGTAGTTTTTGAGGTTAGCTTTTGAGTCATGTTCCGGCCATCAGAAAATAGCCGGCAGCCAGCATAAACAGAAGCCACAGCATCGCCCACAGCCACCAAGTGGGTGCTGAACAAAACGCTTGAGCTCTCCTTCTGCACCATAAAAAATTGGCCAACGATTCCAAACCCTCCAAAACCTTCCATGGAACTGGAATTCCCTACATGGACTGGGTCCACCAGCCAAAATCTACCAGTGCCCTGAATCCGGTGGTTGACCACGGACCGAGAGGACCGACCTGGGTGGTGGACGAATGAACAGACGGTCTACCTGCGCAGGTCCAGCTACCGCGGAGGAATGAGAGTCCGGTTTGGACCACGACTGGGGATGAACTATCCCTGGGGATCCAGTCGTACCGAACCTCAGGTACGACTGGACCTGACGTTTTGGCACCTACAGAACAGTCTCTCCAATCACCGTACCTTGAGAAGACTCTTCAATGCCTATAGGGTACGATTTGGGGGTGCCAGGCCAACTCTCTACTCTTCCGGCGGAGCTCGTTTCAGCGTCTCTGGTTGTCCAAGAGACTTTGCATTGGAGAAGGTCCTCGGACTGACATTGCAGAAGTGAGTTTGAGACTGTGGCAAGACTTGGTCCCGTTGGGAATCCAACAAGAGGTACTTTGATGTTCTTTTATGGTGGATGTTTACTTGAAATACGAAGGATGTTCTTACATGTACCTTACATGTTCTTAATTGCTGTAAATATCCAAGGGCCAACTTCGGTCAACCTTGTAAAAATGGTCGTTGACTATTACAAAAGAACCTTTTGATTGTACTAGCAGGTATAAGCCTGGCGAACCCACTTCCCGGCCTGAGGGTCGTCTGGGCTTTGTGGTTTCAACATTCCAGCCCGGGCTGGTGGCAAAGAAATGCCGAGGTCTAGGTCTTCTGAGTCTCTCCACTTCACATCCCACATGGTTTGTGTCTTCACAATGAACTGTCCCATCCACCCATCCGTCCATCCGTTCATCCATCCCTCCCTCCCATAAACATTCATTTCAACTTCCTCACCACCAACACGACCTACGAAACCTCCCTCCGAAACCCATTCTTTGCCTTCTCTCTCTTTCTCTCATCCGGCCATGCCACAAATCCGTGGTGAGCTCCGCGTCACAGGCTTGCCCAATGCCACAGGCGGTGGACAAGTCGAAGGGGTTCGGTGGGTTGGTGCCTCCAGTGAGGGCGAGCACTCCGGAGGAAGCTCCGGTACACCGCAGAGCCCGCAGTGTTCAGAACCCAAAAACACGAACGAAACACCGACCACAGCTCTCAAACCTGAGGATTCTTGGTGGTTCCTCTTAGGTATGCCACCACATGTAAGCCATTGTTGGAAGTTGCAAAGGCCTTCGACAAGCTCTTTGCTATGTGGCATGAGGAAAGGCTAGGACTAGACTCCTGAGGTATTGGTTCGGGTATCGCTCTAAAACACAAGTTTGTCCAACACATACAAATAAAAGTAATTGGCCTATTCCTCACACAGGTATCGCTATTGCGTGAGTGATTGTAAAGCTTTACAAAACCAATGGCGGGTCACCTCTAAAACTGTTCATAGGATGTTTGGCACTTGCTCATTGGTTATGTTCCACCCCTCCCCAACGTGAAGGGGTTGTTCCAAACTCTTAAATGGGCTTGGTTGATTCATCAGTCATTCATGGACGGACATCCGGTCTTGCGGCATCCGGCAGCGAACAAACAAGCAAACAACAACCTCATTGGTGTGGCAATGCCGATTCCAGCGCTTCCGGCGCATGGAGTGAGAATTTTATGATTTTCAATGTGGTTTCTATCCCAAACACTCCCTGGGACTGCCATACAAGCCGCCCCATTGACCTCTTCAACCACCCCTGCCCTGATCGGCAGTCTGTGGGTCAGTTCCTGCACGAAGAAAGCTTGGATGCCGGGATCTCCTCCTCTCGTTCCACCAAGCTGCAGGTGTTCTTGTTCGGACAGCCTCACTGAGAAGGACCCTCCACAGACCAGTATCCTTTAATGAATGGGTTTCAGGGAAAAATCCACAGGAAGGCCCGTGTTTTCACCGCTAAAACGATGGGAAGACCCGTATCGATGTGTCCGTGAAACCTCCGAAAAAACCGGGAATCATGGCCGCCAAAACGGTCCATCTTTTTCGCCTATAGGCCTATACCCCAAACACGACCCATGGGAAGGACTGGCATCTTTTCACACCAAACATGATGAGAGTCTATATGGAGTGGGCCTGGAAGTGGCATACCCTTGTTGGTAAAGTCAAGCCTTCCAAGGAACCATGGCATGGCACCATCCACGGTAGATGTGAAGTGTTCATCAGTTCGTGTATCATTGATACAAGAAAAAAACATGGAACAAACATCTGGAAGTAAAGAAAACTCATGAAAGATTCCAGGATGCAACCTTCTATATACTTCAGAGATAGAAAAAACAAAAACAAGGTGTCCAACAGAATTTGGTAGCCATGTGATGATGTGTTTCGCTGATCCATGCCAATTCTCATGAAGGTCGCCTCAGGTGAGGAAGTGGAGGTCCAGCTTTGATGATACGAGGTCTGTAAACAGACTATGACTATCATGGACATTAGACCTGGACCTAGCTATGAAGACCCAGGTATCATGCTCCACACGGTCATCGAGTCAGGGAACTTTCGCCAAGTCGAGTTGCACATGGCTGTGGGTCATGGCACCGGGCACCAAACCGGATGCGCTCTAAACCGGATGCGCTCTAAACCGGAGGCGAGGTCTCTATGTAGTGGACGTGTCAGGCTCGATTTCATATTTCTTCCACATGCCTGTGGATCACAAAGCCACCCCCGTGTCGGGCTCCAGTCGTACCTTCGTTTCGAAGGTGGGACTAGGGGTCCAAATATCTTCTGAGGAGTTACTTGGATCACCAAGCCACCCAAAAGCTTCTGAGATAAATACGGTCATTAACCGACCACAGCCCAACGCAACCAACACGGATTCGTTCCCCAAACCCTCCAATGTTCGCTGCCACCCGGTGTGCCACCGACTAGACTAGGCAAAAAAACTACTCCCAGCAAGTGATGCCGAAGAAGAGTCCCCAATACCATCATGGTGAATGCCATGTAGTTCATCATCCATTTCAGTGGTTCAGTGGCATTTTTCATGTACTTCATCCACCACTTGGTGGTTCAGTAGGAACCTCCAGCGTTATGACCACCAAGTGATGCCGAACCTTCCACCAGCCACCAGCTCTGGGCGTCCGGACATCCCTCTGGTGGGCTGCGGCCGTCGCAGGTGGCGAAGACATCGGTGCCCACTTTGGGCAGATCAGGGCCGACCCTGAGCACAGATACAACAGTGCATGACTCCCGCAGTTATTTCTTGGAAAAGAAGTGTTTCTGCATTTAACCATCTGTTCTACCATCCATGCCCTCATTGAAGAGGCAACACTGCGGACACTCGTCGTTCTTCCACCCCCTGTTCTTTTTTATCTTCAATCCTTGGGTGCAATAGTGTCACTGTGAAGGATTCTTCTGACATCTGTCTGTGTGTTCCCCAATCGCACGAAAAGAACAATCCCAACAGAAACATGTTTAATGCCATCGGCCCCAACACTTGACCTCAACGCTGGACATAATGACCTAACTTTGGAATTAAGACTTAACCACAGCAGCTTGGTCGCCGGCAAGTGAATCACAGCCTGCGGACAAAGAGCTGGTGACTAAGCTCGTTCACTGTTGAACCGTTCGGGGCAAACGCTCCAAGGGTGGCAGCAAGGTATGCTATGGTACTCTTCCAGGTCCTCCTGGCCTTGTAGAAACCCGCGCAATTCAGGCTGTTCGCCCCTCGCCCAGAAACATGCCAATACGCCATTGCCAATTCACCATCGATTCGATCGCGAAGGACTCACGACTCGTGCAACTCCATATGTTTCAGATCTTCATCCACCCGCAGGGAGGGCAAAAACTCTAATATATATATATATACCCCTAGGGCTCCAAGTACCTCCTCAGAAGGTATTTGGACCCTCTAAACCCACCCCAAACACCTTCTTAGAAGGTACTTGGAGCCCTAGGGTACAATGGATCAGTACAATACTTCATCCATTGCATCCACCCACAGGGCAACTGAGATCTGTCCGCCCACGAAGTAGATCACATCAGCTGTCATGGGACAGCCACCGCTGAGACAGGGCCCTCGGACTTCCCGCGATGCTTCGATGAGTCAGTGGCCAATGAAAAGGACCGTTGGCGTGCCTTTTCCAGTGGTCCTTTTTCAGGACGACTGACTGACTGGCTACGCACCTGACTGGCTGTCCCGTATGATCACCATCCTGCCCGCCCAACGGGGCCCGGCTGTGCTTGGCGTTTCTGGCGGTGGAGACCTTTTCCCAGCTGTTGAGGCTGCCCGTCGCCCGGCGTGTCTCTGTCGCGGCGGTACAGATCCCAGAAAATGATGGCACGCGCCGGTCAGTCGTCCCAGGACGTTCATGCCGGTCAGCCGTCGTTGGCTTGCAAGGTCTTCGAAGTTTGCCAAAACCCACGTGATCCTGGTGTAGTTGGCATCGCTCAGAAGTATACATTGAAGCATCGTGCAGGGTCGACCAGCGAAATTCCACAGGAATGGACTATGTTCTCTGATTGTTCTGGCTTATCACCCAAGTTCAAGCCCTCCCTCCCAAGTTCAATTCTCTCCCACAAAGTCCAATTCCCTTCCAAGTTCAACCCCTTCAACCGGTGGGGCGTGGGTGGGACGTGAATCGCCTGCTTGAGCCCCTACATCCATGAACAACAGTAGTAGTGCTCCATTTGGCAAGGAAACATCGATGGTCAGATCGCGAAGAGCTGCTCTTCAGTCAGGTGACGAGTCTCAGGAAGTGCGGCCCGACGGCCCAGCCCAGGCACATGTGCTTGGTACCCTACCCTGGCAGATTGGCAGATTGGTGCCTCCTGATTCCGTCTCCCATCGACCCTCCAGTTGGCCAATTGGGAGGGTAGAGAAAACATCTTGGGACGTCTCATGGCGTCAAGTCCTAAAGCTTCCAGCTTCGACTTCCAGGGAGCTTTGGGGGTGCATGAAATGTCGGAGAAGCTCATGGTGACCAGTTTTCGGCTGTTTTGAAGTGTGTGCAGTTCAAGCAAAGGCCACGTACATGGTTGCAACACCAAATTGTCCCAACAAATCTCAAAATACAACACATAATTTTATGTCGAGCCCAACCATGCACTCCCAAATGTTCGTGAAGTTCAGGTACACTTGCCCCAAAAGGTCCTCTGTGGCTCTCTACTCAAAACAACTTGCACTACCGTTCTCCCACGAGAGAAATCTACACTCACTGTTCATGGGGGTGTAGAAAAAAGGACTCAAACACCCTCCAAGGTCAAATGCTCAAGAACAAAAAAGGTCATTGGCAACGACTAACTAAGAGTGATCACTATATAATACAAACATTTAGAGAGAGCCTTCGGATTAAACAAACACACACGTGTCCACACTCCTGCCTTTGTGTGATCTACTTCCAACAGCGCTCTGCCAACAGCTGAGGAAATAGCTCAGCGCTCGGCCAACCCTCTCTTCGCTGCGCTCTGCTTCTCTTCGCCGAGTGGCCCGCAGCTGTTGCCATCTCCCGCGCAGCTGCCCATCCCGCACCTCGTCGCGACCGTCGGCACCGGACGTCCGGGTTGGGGCGTCTGGACGAAGGGGCAGCGTCGTGGAAGATGTTCAGGGAACTCACGCGGTTGCAGAAGAAGGAAGACACTCCTATGAAGATAGATAGATGGATGGATGGATGGATGGATAGATAGTTAGATAGTTAGATAGATAGATAGATAAATAGATAGATAGATAGATAGTTAGATGAAAGGTGAACAACAACAAAAGCAAACAACAATTTTCCCTCCACAGAACGACTTACTTCTTGGACGTTTTGACTTTTGAAGTTACACAACAGCACAAGAGAACAGCACATCAGGCAAATACAGGTGTATAGGGATAACCATAGGGCCATAGGCCATAGGGATTGAAAGACTTCAAACAGGTCTGGGGTCGTATTTTTGTGGAATCTGCTCCTTTCTGTCAGTTCGTCTTACAAAGAAGCCACCAGCAGAGAGTCTGCAGGAAAGGATAATGGTGGCTTCTTTGTAAGACTTGGAACATCTAAGACTTGTAAGACTTGGAACATGTAAGACTTTGTAAAGCCACCAATGACTCAGGAATAAATAACACATTGGACTATACATGGAACATCTTGGAACGATATCCAGTCCCGAGTTGTGCCATTGGGCCATTCTCTTGGCCACTGGAATATGATCGCATTTGTTGGTGTCCCAAAACACCGGTTGACCACGTGGGGACGAACGAGCCGCCGTGGGACGATCATCCGAACGATTTTTGTTCCCGAACGTGCCGTATGGAGAGTGGTGGATGAACCGTCTTGAGGTAACTATCCCAAACACTCCATGGGACTGCCATATTTACCTGCATTGACCCCTGAAACCACCCCAACTGATCGGCATATATGGCAGTCCCATGGAGTGTGTGTAACTATGAAAAGGCCAAAGTTTTCCAGTCAGGATGCGGAATGATGCATTCCTCAAAACCAGCGATGCATGAGGAATAATTGATTCCTCAGTCTACGTACCAGGGCCCCTTCCCTAGGAAAAAAACTTGGTTCTTGTATGTGAAAACCTTTGTTTTCATGGTTGAGGGTCACTGGTGTGCTATCTGAGCTTTGAATCCATCTGGAGATCGCTTGCCCAGGCACTGGCAGAAGCCATAGCTGGGGCCAGCAAAAGGATTCCTGAGGCGAGCATGGGGGCGAGGGCGAGCAGCCTGCCAGTCTTTGGAGGATGGGCTGAAAAAAAGAAGGCAATACCAGGACCTTCCAAGAGGTGTCTATAAATAGCCTTTTAGTGGTTAAGGGGTGTCCAGAAACCACCTGTTGGAAGGTGCTGGTAGTTGACACCATTTGGAACAAACATATGCAGAGATGTCAAAGATGGAAGCCTCTGGTGAGTACTGGTGGAGATATCATCATCTCTCAGGATCTGGCTGTTTCCAGAACACCAATCCCACACGATCCACGGTGGGGCAAACATATCGACCTGACATTCACCGAAAAGCACCGGTGCAGGCAATCGAAATGCACCACCAAGCTGTCTCGTCTGGAGTTAATGAAACCAGCAACCTGTCTCTAAGCCCGGATGCTGGAGATCCTTGGAAAAGAAGCCGTTCACCATTTTGTCATCACTTGTCCATGTTTAGTGGGGAGGCCCCACTCTCCCAACAAGGTGTTGCAGGTGATCCACATTTCCCCGGGTTGGTTTAGTGGACAGGACACACGAAGTCCGACATCCCCTTTGTGTGTGTGTGTGTCTACGACCGCCGCCGCATGCTCGTCCCGACATCTTCGGCCTGCATCCAATGTGAGAACCATGTCTCAACGGTCTAAACGTTACCAGCAAAACATTGCACAACAACCATGTTAGACATACAGTATACAAGCAAATCATGTGTGGTTCCTGGATTTCTTCGACAAATTAATTGATATCTTTGCAAATATCACATATGATATGTTCATAATGTTTGTCATACGTTGGTTGTGTTTCTTCCACACTTGTCTCATTGTCTCAACGTTGGTTGTGGTATTGAGTCATGCCTAGTCCCTAGGATTCCAACCACAGTTGATGGAACGGTGTGAATATGCAAAAACTATGGGTTGTGACAAGGATGCTAAATCACAAAACGGAGTCAACCTTTCTCTTGGTCTTGGAAGGCTACAATCAATTAAAGGGTATTAAAGATGAATCAATGAATCATATGGATAATATCACATGTTATCAATATCACATGGATATTAAACACATGATATCATATGGGTGTTGATCAAAATAAAGGTATCTGAGGCAGCTACAATCGCCGATCAACCGCGAATCAATCGCGATCCCAACGGTGTCAATCGCGGGAGAGTGCTCTCGTAGGCGACACTATTTTGCGCAGAGAATCGTCGAAACATTGAAACATTGCTACATATCACAGTATTTAGAGGCATGGCGTGAGCCAGGGCCTACTCAGGCGGGTTTAACAATCGCGGCACAATCGCGGATCAATCGCGAACCAATCGCGGATTTCGTCAACATTTTTTTGAGAATTGAAGTGATCTGGGCTGGTAGACTTTGAACTTTGCTATTGGCTATCACTATTGAACACAGTGTCTAGGCAAACGGGAATACAGTGTAAGGCTGAACTGTAACATGATTATCATGCCATATAATATTGATGCCTCCTCTTACAATGGTCGATTCTGATACAACAAATGTTTGTCTCAATCGCGAATCAATCGCCGATCAACCGCGATGCAGGGTTTTACAATCGCAAATGCTGAGATACACATGCCCTTTCAAAATTCTTATAGATTTGCATTTACGATCGGCTCCCATATGGATAATCCAAGAACTTCATAATATTTCGCCAAGAACTTCCAACCTCACGGCCTCACTACACTTGTCACAACAAGGCGAGCGCGTTCATCGCTGCGACGTCCAAGGCTCAGCTGCAAAGGAGCACTGCACATGGCACCTGGCCATGGCAAGCTCAGGAAAACCAGAAACACCACAAGCTCCAACTACAGTACACTCCGACTCAGTAGTTGAAACGGAAGTACACTCCACTGGAGGAGGGCATGACCCCTTGGAAGACTTCTTTCCACAAACAGTGAAGCCAACATGGAAGTGGATCACCTCCTGTTTGGGGTCAGGAAAGTTGTCTTCCTTTTGGGCTCATGCCCACTTCGTGATGTGTGAGTATCTGAGAGTATCTCCTCGACCCCTCGCGGTCAACCATCGACCCCTGCCGCCGAAAAGCTTCGGAGCGGCACCGTCCGCTGGCACCGTCCGGTCAGCCAAGCGGAGACGACGGAGACTGTGGATCATACGGTGTGGGTCCCTGTGGGGTCCCTGGGGGTTTCTGTTCTGAACATTTGGATGGTTGGATGGGTGGGAATTGGCCGCGCATCCAACAGGCAACACAGTTTCCATCCTTCAGAGATGAAATTCATGTTTTTCCTGAAGCGTTTTTCACATGGCGTTTGCTGGCCTCGTAACACATGTACATGGTCAACCAGCTGAACATCATGAACAAAGCGACGCGTCCGGGGAAAATCTTGATCGGGGAAAATCTATGTTGATTTTTGCAGAGGCTCGTCTACCTCACAATGCTCACCTGTACTTGCCAGCTGTTCACTTTCAGGATCGCAAGACGAGTTCCTGCGATCCAACGACTCGCACTTGCAACATATGAGTCAGTGGATGTCAGTGGCTTTCATCATCGCAAGTTTAGCAAAGGCTTGAACATCAAACGTATTCAAACATATCTGAAATCACAGGCAAATCACCATCTTCCACTCCTTCACCCCTGGAAACCACCAGCCAAAACGACTGCTTCAGCTTAAGTCTAGGAATTGGGTCACCTTTAGACCCACCAACACCACCGCGTCACGGAACGCCACGTGGCGTTCCACCGCGACGTTTCAAACGCGCTCCGGCCTGGTGGGCACGAGGTTCTGGAGTCGAAAGGATTGGGTGGATTGGTGCAAGATTGGCCACGCGAGTAGCAGCAGCTGGCATCTCGACCCTGCAAGAGGCGAGACGCGAGAGACGCGAGAGGCCGGCGGAGAATGCGAGGCTGCGGGGGTTTGGGCAGAGACGATGGGAAGGAAACGCTTCCAGGGTTTAGGAGTCGAGACGAAGGGACATGTACATTGGATAGTGGGAAGGCGGGCGGATTTTTGGGGATGTGCGCTTTGGATGGGAGATGAGAGACTGAGAAGACTGATGCCAACAAGAAGACTTGGCCAACTACCAGGAGTCACGTTCGAAAAGGGGTGCCGAGCGAACGGAGGACGTCGCGGTGCCAACAACTCACTGGATGGGGTGCCAACACCACCCCGACATGTGACCCCTGGTACTGATGAGAAAAGCAGTCCATGAGGTTTTTCTTCTACAGCTCTCTTCCTCGTCCGGGGGTTTTGCCCCCAGACTCAGACCACACGAATGGGACTGGAAGGTCGTTACCTTATACATTCAGATTCATAATGTACAAAATACATTTTGACTGGAATAGAATCATACCTTATTACAGAATGAATAGTACTGAATAATACTGGAATGTTACATACCTTGACTGGAATATTCCAGTCCCATGGCAATGGCATGTCTGGGAATTGCCAGGTCCATCCAAGCCATCAACAAATCCTCTGATCGTTGTCACCTAAAGACCTTGTTCGTGTGGATGCACCAGTCTACCCTTTCATGAACTTTCATGCTTTCATGGTTCTTCTCTTCCCCTCTCCTACTCCCACAAAGAAAACACAAAACCCAACTCAACCCCTGGCCGCCCTGGTCCTGCCCAGCCCCCAAAAGCCGTTCAACACAACACCAACTCTCACCATCTGAATCTTCCACTCCACTCCACCCTTCCTTCACTGTCCCCCCAACCCCAGAACGTGACTGCAAGCGTCCACTTGACTGAAGGATGGCCCTACCCAGCCCCCCAGCCCCCGTCTCTCATCTTCCAAAGCCTTCATCCAACTTCGTCCGAGCAACGCCGGCCACGCAGGGTGAGCGCTTTGTGGCGTTCACGGCCGCGGCGCTGGTGTCGTTCTCGGTCGCCTGCGGTGGAAGATGGAGGCTCCGACGGGTGAGTCTGGTAGGATGAGAGCCGTGGGGGGGTCTGGTATGCCGTGGGGCATTTATATTCAGAGCCAGCCAAAATAACAAGCAGTCACAGGGCTGCTGCTAAGTGTGAAGTCACAGGGCTGCTAAGTGGGACACAAATTCTCAAAGAAGAAAGGACCGTTTTGTTTGGGAAAGAGGATGACACCTTACAGTTTCTTTTGGGTTTTTCATTTTGGATATAAGCAGTCATATGTAATATGACTCTTGTAAATTATGCACTAACTGATTGAATCCGGTGATTAAATAGATGCTGTGAGTATTTCCTCTGACTTGTATCTGCAGTGCTTCAAGCTTCTCCCTCCCTCTCACAGCTGCTCGGAGCAACGCCTGTCCAAGATCCTTTCCCACTGCTCTCTTCTCGCGCTGGAGCCTCAATGCAGAAGAACAGGGCTGACTACCAGTATCAAACAACTATCCCCAGACTTCGAATACAATCAAAAGAAAGGTTGAACTGGTTTTGTAGTCTAAAACCCTCAGTAAAGGTTGTGTGTGTTAAAAACCACATTAAAGCAATGATGGCTGTTGGCATATCTGGGAGTAATGCATGAAAGCACCTCTCAAGCTGTTCCCCAGACCCAAAAACATCCAGTTGTGGGGTTTGAGGTCGACGATCGGCTTGGTGGAGCGAAAGCGGCTTGGTGGGTAGGGGATATCACATGCAAATCATTTGCAGCCGCCCTGAATACATCGGGATTACATCGGCGATTACACGCTCCAATCAGCGTGATTACATCTCACGCAATTGTTGTTGTGTGTTTGTTGTTTCTGAACATGTTGGCGATGGTTATCGCTTGGGTCTATCCTATAAAATAGTGATAATTGTTTTACTGACTGTTGCAGGTAATAGGACAGACCCAAGTGATCGCACTAATGTCCACAACAAAACTCCTGAGGAAAAGTTTATCAGCATGCCAATGACTTGGCTGTGGATCAATACCAACGAAGTGACGTGCTCTTACTTTTGCATACTTTTGCAGCTAAGTGGTCACATCACTCCAAGTCCACACCAACATGCGGTTCATTTTGATATCGATAAGTCAACACAGGCCGAGGTTTGCCATCTAATCGCCATTTCCTAGAAGTTCCCGTTGAAGCCAAACCTGCCGTATAGCAAAACTGCCGTACGATGCCGTACGCAAGGCTGGTACACAAGTGCTCAAAAAAGGGCAGATTCTCCCATTCCCACGACCTGTGGACTGGAATAGGGGCCAGTCCCATTCACCCCATGATGCGACCCATCCATGTGACCGGTGTCTTTCTTCGTTCCCATTCGTCTGGTCTGGCAGCGCCCGGTCTAGTCCCACCGGGGTGGTCTGATCAACTCCGTTCGTAGCATCTGGGTTTGGCGATTTGTTCTGGGTTTAGTGGCCAATCCACGTGACTACGTGGATTCTCATGTTGCAAACTTGGAAGTGGTGGGTGTCTGACTCCGGGATAAAAGGAGTCCGAAGTTCTGGAAATGTGTTGCAAATACTGCGCGGAAAGCAATGTACCTCAACAACGGTTTATATATGATGTCCTCAAGACTTAGGTGCAAGCACACACATTGACATGGGTACGTGCACACAAATATGGTACACCACGGTGATGGTAGCTTCAAACAACATGTCCCTGCAATGAAACAACAAACACACAGTGTTATCCTCCTTCTCACCACCTCCAGCACCAAACCACCAAACCACATTCCACCAGATTTCGCCGAGCAAAGCCTCAGTCCTGCCAAATCACAAAGAGTTGCTTGGCATTTCTTGATCTTGACAAATGGCCTCGTTTCGCGGAGAAAAAGGATTAAACACACAGAAAAGGAACACGGCGGGGGGGGGGGGGAAAACGGCGCGCGGGCATGTCACGCTGGTGACGCGAGTATCACCGGGCATGTCGGGTCGGACGTGGGGTGACCCGGTGGCAGGGGATGAAATGGCTTGCAACGAACGGCATGAAACACCACCAATCCCTAAAACACTTGGCATTGGTGGCTTGCAATTGATATGACCCAGACACGAAACAACTGTCCTGTCACAGATGCCGCCCCTTGGGACCGCGACAACGGCAAAACCCGGTACCAGTCCCCATGGAGACGAAAGTAAGGCTGAGTCAGTGGTGTGCCGAGTCGCCGGTGGTGGGCCGGAACCTTGTGGCATCTGCTTTGGTTTTTCTGAGAGTTTGGGGAGATCCCACTATCCTAAAGGATTTCTCTTGGTATGCCAGATAGTTTGGCATTCTTCCCCTAGTGATGTATGATAGTGGCAGAAAACCGTCGTGGAGTCGAGAGTCAAACCCCTATTTCTCCACGCCATTCCACGACATCCAAAAACACCAAAAAAAACACAAAGAAGTCCAGTTCGACGATATATAGCGGACCACCGAAGTGTTCAGTCACCTGATCGGACCACTTCACTATATACCCTAGAAGTCCAGTTCGACGATATGTTGACCGGCTGAAGTAGTTCGGAAGTTCCCTGCCGAAATCAGGTCCCCGTTCGTCAGACCATTCTTTTTGTAGTCGACTGGACTCCCAAGGAATAAGCAAGTTCTGTATTTTGCAACGCTTTGCGTACTTGGGTTCGCTTCAGTCTAATTCTCCAGGGACCTATCGTTGCCCAAACGGGAATTTCTACAATGTTCTCTACCAACAGCACGAGATGAAACTCATGAAACATTGCAAAAACACTCATTGCCTCGCTGGAGGCCTAACCTCACCCAGAACTACTTCTCGTTTTGGCAGATTTGGCAGGTGAAGATAACCATCTGGATAGAACTTCTGCCAGTACCATTCCAGGTCTACTTCTCTTTTCCTCATGAAACTTGTAGATTCTAGACACTCCCTCCAAATGACGCCCGCTGTGATCTAAGTCTCAGCCTTCTCCTGCAATGGGGAAGTCTATTCTTTTTTGAACTCCGCCAGTGGTCATGGGTGTCTCCATGTGGAACGGGGCGACGCCTCGAGGCTCCCTACATCACCTGCTTGGCACTCCACCGCGGTGCACGTGGAGATGGAAAAGAGAAAGAGGACGATGCGCAACATTGCCTCGGAGAACAAATGGTGAACACCACGGTTCAATAGACAACATCTATTTCTGTATGCCCCTCTCCACCCAACATGCAAGACCTACAGTAACTAAATACTGACTGCTGCAACTGAATGACCTCCCAATAGAGGCTTTTGGAGGATCCAGCCACCCTGCTTTCATGCTTTCGTCTTTGCTTTCGTCTACCCACTCCAGTGGAAACGAACCGGAAAACTGGTCGCCCTTACGAAGGTCGGAGTGCATCACTTCCGACTCATTGGTAGGAAGAGAAGGCTCTCAAAACGGTTCACGGTCATGAGCTGGAGAATGTCCTTTCACTGAACCAGCAGGTCTTCATTGAATTCTTCTATTTGAAGTCAACAATTACAGGTGGTACTAATATTGTACAGCAGCTTCCGCCTGCCACTCACACATTCCGCTTGATACGAGTGGCAATAACGAAGAGGAAGCACTGGGGAGCCAGGATAGGATTTTTTCCTTGAACCAAAAGTGCTGTGAAGATCTTCTTCCGAGTCTGGTCGTTCCGTTCCAGTCCGCCAGCAGCTGCTCGACCAGCAAAAGCTTTGGGACAGTCCCACGACCAACCCACACACTCCATGGGACTGGCATTTTGTTACTGATCAGGCCACGGTAGTTCCAGAGGCCAATGGGGCGGCAATTCTGCCAGTGCCACAGAGTCTTTTTCTGTAGATATTCAGTATTGATGACGGTTTGTTGGCGCCAAGTGATATGTTGGCCACACCCAACATGACACTTCACCCAACATGACACGATGCAGTGGTCACACCGAACGGGTCATGGCAGGGTATTGGGCACTGACCGGTTGACCCTGGAAGGTCAAACGAGATCCGTGGCAGGGTACCGGGCTCCAGGTGACTCATCCCGTTTCCCAGTCGATCGTAGACCTTGGAGGGATAGATCCACTCATCTATTGATCCCTACCTGGATGGTGAACTCATCCCTATCCCTAGGGGCGATGGTTCGACCCATCTCCTCAGACTACCCACCCACCCCGATGCTTCTGCACCTCACGGAGGGGGCCAGTACTGTGTTCTCTTTCACCCGTCTTCGATCCGTCTCTTTGCAAACATGACACTGCCAGCGGGTCAAACCACATTCTGCTAGCAGAGGGGTGAAAAGCTCAGCTGATAAACACCAAATTGCCCAAGTTTCTTTCACCTTTGACCCGGCTAAACCGTGTTTTCCTGTATCAACTGTGTCTATGAGGGAACGTGGCTGCTGACGAAGGTTACAAGGACACCTAGATGGGCACCCAGACTTGGTCCTGTCAGCGAAGGGCATTGGGATCGACCCAAAGCCAAACGTGTAGGAGTCGATGGCCTTTTACTGTTTAATAGCAGAGGGGATACAAACCTCCCGTGCTGAACAACCGACAGTATATGGTAGCAAATCGACCCGTCTATGATTCCCATG